TTTTTTTTTTTTTTTATTTTTTTTTTTTTTTTTTTTTTTTTTTTTTTTTTTTTTTTGGTATTTAGCTGAATAATCAATATGTGGTTTGAAAACCCTTCACCTAGACGCAAGTATCTGGCAAGGGAGTAGTCATGTGGTCACACCCACTTACTTATGGAGGGCAAACACCTGTTTCCTTTAGATACAGCCATTGTGGGGGCACGCTAACCGTTTTCTAAGGTAAAGGTGATGATGTGTCACCTGCAGGCAATACTATTGAGTCCCCAAAATGACAGGATTCACAAACTAAAGCCAAATTGTATTTTTAAAATTCAGATTGTCTCTGTTTTCTGACTCCCACCCCTTTTTAGTGTCTCAAAACCGTTGCCTTCTCTGGAAATACGTCTCTGTGTTTTGGAAGAGTCTGTACATTTGGCCATCAGCTGTTTTCTTTTTCAAAAGGAGAACACTGATGGTAGATTATTAATTCTTATTTTTTAATTCAATTTGGATCTAGTCAGTTTCTAAGGTTTATGGGATGACTTTGGTTTACAGAGAAAAAAGTAGAGCTAAAAAGTTAGGAAGCTCAGGTTCTAATGTGTCTCCTAGGTGGCCAACACTTTTTTAAAACTCAATAATGAACATTGCAAACAATAAAAGATGGAACTAAGTACCAGAACCAGCAAAACAAGAATGACCAAAGCAATTTAAATGTTAAGCATGCTATTCATCAGGCAAATACTGTGCTAGCCCCATGGATACAAAAATTACTGAGTCAGCCCTGGCTGATATGGCTCAGTTGGTTTGCAAGTTTGCCAGCTCAGTTCCTTGTCAGGGCACATGCCAGGGCTACAGCTCAATCCCCAGTGGGGAGCTTGCAGGAGGAAGCTGATCAGTGTTTCTGTCCCTCTCCCCTCCTTTCTCTCTAAAAACAAAAAAAATTTTTTTTTTAATTACTAAACAGTCCGGCCAGGCGTGGCTCAGCGGTTGAGCATCCACCTAGGATCCAGGAGATCATGGTTTGATCCCCGGTCAGAGCACATGCCCAGGTTGTGGGCCCAATCCCCAGTTGGGTGTGTGCAGGAGGCAGCTGATCAATGACGTTTCTATCTCTCTCTCTCCCTCTCCTGTCCTCTCTTTGAAATCAATAAAGATATATGGGGGGGAAAAATAAATTACTAAATAGGCTGGTTTGTAGCTTACAGAGGACTGGGATTTCTGGGCTCTGGGCTAAGTGAAATAATGGCAATAAGCCCAAAGGTACTATAGGAACTCTAGGTCAGAGGGTACACTAGAGGGGAAGAAGGCTTTAGGAACTCCAGGCAAAGTCACAAGTAAAGAAGGCAAAGAGCTACAGATCACAAGCACTGTGTGGGGCTTGAACCAGAAGTGTGCGGCAGGACGTGGGAGAAGAGGCGGAGAGGCTCCGATCTTGGAGGGCCTTACCAGTATCTGCCCTGTGTTGTTGGAACAAAATGAAACTTTGTTCTTGAGGGGTGGCAACTGTGAAGAGGGACTAGAGTTACTGTCATACTATACCATACGCACTGTTGTATTAATACCCACCTTCCATTAAAAAAGAAATTATTAAACTGGTCCAGGCTATTAGAATCTTTTCATTCACAATCTGTTCCTGTACAGATTCTGAGAGGTTTTGAATCAGGTCCTACATAGAAATAAGGCCTAAGAGGTCGATTAAAAGTGTCAGTGAATGTGTAGATATGAGATTTGTCAGTCATGTTATAAAAACTGACCGCCCCCATCTCATAGTCCAGGAAAACGCCGATGGCTCTGGGCTTCCCTTCTGACAGTGGCAGGATTGTGCTGGCTCCTGAGGCGCCATGGCCGCTTCCCTGCTGCCGAAACCTCCGGCACCCCAGACAGGCTGATGGGGTCCTCCTTGACCTGGTGGACAGAGAGTCTTTGCAAACCCCGATAGCCCATTTGGATTTGTCTCCCACTTCTACTTCCCAGAAATGCCTGCCAGCATGAAAGTATGGAAACCCCAGGACAACTGTGTTGACTGTAAATCTTTTTGGAAATTCAGGAACATCTTGTTTTCTCTTTGTATATCTCACACATTTTTTATCCTCAGAGACAATCAGGTTAGGGTGTGCCGTTTCAGGGTCTAGAATTATATCTACTCTAAATCTCCTTCTAATTTTCTGCAAAGCAGAATACTGGAAAGGAAAACTGCAGCCTTCCCTCCTTAACTGGGCTGAGAACATTGATGGGCTCAACTCCTCAGAGTTCTCATAGAAACTTTTGATTTGTGACAGCAATTCCACTTCCGGCAGGATACTGCTCTCTATTGCCATACTTAGTAGACCTTTGAGTGTGGAATTGTACTTTGAAAATGCAGTTATATTAGCACTGAGTTTCTTTCCAATAGCCTTTTCTTCATTAGCTAATCTTGAAAGAATTGCTTCTTGATCACGTTCTAAAAACTGCTTCAGGTGCTCAAATTCAGAGAGTAATTCCAGCCTTTGGTTTTCTACCTTCTCTCTCAGTTCTAAGGGTTTTTTGCTTTGAATGCTTATTAATTTCTGAACATCTGCCACCTGCTTCTTCAGGGGCTCAATGTAACTGCTGAGCCTTTGCCTGTGATGAGAGGCGGCCTCCTTCACGGGCCTCACCTGGTGGCCCTGGTGGTTAGGGGGCTCAGTGCACAGGGGACACAACACCTCTTGGTCCTCCTCACAGAAGAGGGTCAGGACCTGGCTATGCTTCTTGCACAAGCGACTCCCTTCCCACCGCTTCTTCTTGCTCCTGGTGACCTGGAGGAGCTTGGCGATGTCAATCATCCTTCCCAGCTGGGTGTTGCTCCTCAAGTGTGTCTCTTGGCATGGGTGACGGCACACAGGGCAAGGGAACCAATCCTGTAGATCAGCCCAGGACTGCTGGATGCAGGAGCGACAGAAGTTGTGCCCACATTCGATGGTGACAGGGTCTCTCAGGTCATCCAGACAGATGGGACAGTTGATTTCTGCCCGGAGTCCTACCAGAGCTGCTTCGACTGCCATTGGGCCCTGAATGAAGGACTGGACTGAGGTGGGTTTCTTCAGGAAGCTGGGCTCTGCAGTGAGAAGTGGATATACCCGAAAATCTCAGTCTTCACTTTGCTGGTAGCCTGTAAGTTCTGTGACTCTTCTGACCTTTAATTCCAGCTGCCAAGAGAAGCCCTTTCCCAGCCTGCAGCCGTCTCAGCTCAGCTAGACCACTGATCCTCCAGAATTTGGAAGCTTGGAAAAAATGAAGCCAAGCTAAACAGCTTTCTTGGTCAGGAGAACAGTCATTACCTGAAATCATTAGTTGCTATGGGTGAGAAGATATTTTTTCCTTAAAACAAAACCCTGGATTTATTTCAAGTGGTCCTACCCACTACCATATTGCAGTCAAGCACAGAATTACCCTCTCCTAACCCCAATCTTTCATTCTCACGCTTTTATCATTGTGCCCTATCTACTCCCACCCACTGGGCACCACCACCCACACATCCCACCTACTTTCCATTCACCCCACCTGGGGCAAAGGAAAGGGCGTAGGCTCTGGGAGAGATGGATATACTACACCCAAGTTACAACACAGCCTTGGTCACCTATCCGTGCAACTTGGGAGAATTTATTTTACATCCTGAACAGGTTCAGAACATGCCATCCCAAAATATGCCATTTTGGATGCAGATTATATTGAGCTGAAGGCAATCAAGACCTAGTAGACTCAGGAAAACCCCTTTAGCTTCTCCTTAACTGCCCCCCAAAAAAGTATAAATTTCCCCATTTGTGGGGGGAGTCAGCAATTATAAAGGAAATTTACATTAGAAAGGGGACCTTTCTAGCAGGAAGAGAGCTATTACCAGAGACTTTAACAGGACAACCTTTGTTTACCAAACATTTCCTCCTTGCATCTCCCAGTGAGTTGCCTCCCAAAACCCCAGAAGCCCCAGGCCCCTAGCCCTTTCCTCACTTCAGGATGATATAGAAGTCTCAGTTGTCTGGTTGCCGGTTGAGTCTCAGATCTTTGTGAAATTCCTGCATGTAAAAATGTAATTAAAATGGTTTTTAAAATTCCTTGTTAATCTCTTTTATGTCAATTTAATTCTTACACCAACCACACAACCTAGAATGGTCAAAGGGAAAATTTTTCCTCCCCTATAATCCCAAACTCCTAGAATCAGGTCTATAAGAATAATAACATCACTATAAATCTTTGTCTTATGAGAATATAGAAATTAAGGAAATCCCCATTAATTCCGAGGCTTGAAACACAGTATTTATAATGGCTCAGAAGTCACATTTACCAAATTTAGTTTGTTGTTCTCATCTTTAGGTTCTGAGACATCCTGTGATAAAAAGACAGACTAACAAGAGAAAAACAATTTTAATACCATTTATACCTCCCACATACATGGGAGAGACCCAGGAACACTGAGTAACTCGCCAAATCGCCTAAGCCATCACCTTAAATACCTTCTTCAGCTAAAGACAATAAAAGGCTGGTGGGGGTGGGGAAGTTATGGGAGGTTACCAAGCAAAGCAAAGTAAACAAGGGAACGATTGTTAGGCAGATTTAAGTGGTTGCCTTCTCCATTGATAAAGAATTTCTAGAGCTTTAGAGTCTTCCCTTGCCTAGTAGAGAAAGAAACACCCTTACAAATGGAGAATTCCCTTGTAAATGTAAATCTCCCTCACAAAAGGGCAACTTCCACACTTTTCAGGGATTCTCCAGCACCAGTAGCCTTTCAAAAATAATCAGCCCCAAATAATCCTGATGCCAAAGAGGCATATTTTGGGGTGGCATATTCTGTTCCCATTCAACAGCTGTATGTGCTGCAAAAGCCTCATTTGTGAAATGAGATCCAGGAAACAAAACCAGGAAATACATTTTCTGTATTTACTAGTAAGATATCTCTAAGTAACAATACCCTCAACACCAGAATGTCAAACAAAAAAAAACTCCCCATGTAGAAAAAGCAGCAGAGAAGCAACAGTTATGGGAAAATGCAAAAAATATTAAAGAATCTAAGAATTACAAATCTGCCCATTTACTATGCTCATTGTATTGGTAAGATTGAAAACAACTGATAATGCCGTTTTGGCTTGGGGAGGTAGCTATTCCAGCACTGTAGACAACTGTGCTTTTTTAAGAAAGCAAAGCTGGCCAGGCCAGGCGTGGCTCAGTGGTTGAGCATCGACCTAGGATGCAGGCGATCGGGGTTCAATTCCGGGTCAGGGCACATGCCCGGGTTGCGGCCTCGATCAATGACTCTCTCATCATTGATGTTTCTATCTCTCTCTCCCTCTCCTTTCCTCTCTCTGAAATCAATAAAGGTATATTTAAAAAAAAGAAAGAAAGCAAAGCTGAACTATCCATAAACAAATGAAAAATCTTTGCCCTGTAATTCCACAAATGCTAATCCTAAAAAGACCCAAAAACATTAAGAACAAGAAAACAGGCCCCAAAAGAAATGTCTTATGCTAAGCTCCATGTCATCAAACCTCGACTTAACTAAATTCAGCTTTCCCAGAAATTGAATTTTAAACCAGTCAGGAATCTCCTAATCAGCACTAGAGAGGTCACCTGCCTGGTAGGCCCCTGTCATCCCCTAAAGGAAAGTAACCTTGCAATAACCGCCTGTAAACACCTTTCATTTTTGAATAGTTTTGCGGGGCTCCTTTCTACCTGCAAGATTGGATGCTGCCTTTTTTTTTCCCAATCCTCCTCACCTTCCATTGCTTTTCAGAGACAGTGAAAGTGAGAGAGACACATCAATTGGTTGCCTCTTGCCCGGGCCTGCAACCAATGTCCGTGCCCTTGGCCACAATCGAACCCAGGACCCTTCAATCCACAGGCTGATGCTCTAACCACTGAACCAAACAGGTTAGGCCGTATGCTGCCTTTTGAATCGTTGAATAAAGCCAATAAGATATTTAAAATTTACTCATTTGAATTTTGTTCCTTTAACACACATATAATTTGAACAAATATTCAAAAATATATACAAAAAAGGTAAAAAACAAAAAATATATACAAAGATGTTCTCTTCAGCACAGGTTTAAACTTCAAAAAAGTAGAAACACTGGAAATACTCATTGTTGGTGTTGACTGAATAAACTACATTACAAACGTGCTAAACGCATTCTGTCCAAGAGACTACAAGCAGATTTTAAAGAAATATGGTAGCACCAAATGTATTAATATAGAAAGAGGCACATAATACATTGTAGATTGAAGAAAGCGGGTAACTTCCCACTCCACTCCAGTCCCAGCTACTGTCTCTTCCCCTTAGACCACTGGACTACAATATTGAGAATTTTGTATTTTAGAAAACAAATATGCTACATAGATCTTGCAGTGTGTAAACGCCCACAGAATGATCAGGGGAAACATTTCCTAATTAAACACAATAATAATTACGGAGTAGACTGCATCTGTGTTCAAACCAAATGGGATAAAGACTATATATAAAAAGCTTCGTCAGGTGATGTTTTGCCAAATACATTTTGCACCAAATTTATCAAAAACTTGTTTTACAGCAGTTTGGGTTTCAGACTTGTGGGCTCTGTAGGATNTTTGCACCAAATTTATCAAAAACTTGTTTTACAGCAGTTTGGGTTTCAGACTTGTGGGCTCTGTGACCTGGGACTAGCGTCAACCAGGCCCCTGCCATTCCTGCCTCTGTTGACACAGGTACAGGATTGGAACCTGCCCAGGTTTCCCCACATCCTTCACCGAGCCCATGAGACTCATGTCTGTCCCTTATCTGGCACCATGCCCACTCTAGGCCGGCTTCAGTCCCAGTTCTTCCTTCCTTTCTCCAGGTTGACCTACCTCAGGCCCCAGAGCTTTTTGGGGAGGGGGGAGGGTGTTAGAAACTCTTTGTTTCAATTGTCCTTAAACGTTTACTGTTATAACCGTTCCCTCAATGCAGCTTGCAAATACTACTTTTTTTTGAGATATAATTGATGCCAGAGTATTTGAATACTGCTGAGGTGGAGCCCAGCAAAGCTCACCCCCATCAGTCTCCTTCCTTAGCTCCTCTTCCTTAAGAGCTCACAGGCCCCACCCCTCAACATCCAATATTAAGGTTCAGTATCACACACACACCACCTTTAAAACTTAATCACTGTAGTCATTTTCTTTGAGGTCCAGATCTGTCTTCCACACTAACCGCCAAAGCATTGAGACTATAGCCTTCTTTTAACTTCCTTAAGCATCCAGCTCAGGATCTGGCACCTAACAGGAACTCATCAAATATTTGTTGCATTAGATACCTGGTGCTCCCTTATAAGCTCTGTGGCTTTGGGTAAACTACTTAACCTCCGTGAGCCTCAGCCCGCTATGAGAAGGCAGACTCGTCAGACAAGGAAGAGCAAGGCCATATAGGGCCTGAGAATCAGACACACGGGCACCACACTGAACACTACTAAGGGGCATGTCTTCTCCATACCTTTTCTGTTTTCCTTTCTCTTGTTAATGTTTTTAAAAACAAATGAGTTTATATAAATTTTTTTAAAGCGTGTTTAAAAAAAAAAAAATACAGGCACCGTGGCTCTCATCCCTCTACTTTCCAATTCTACACAAACCTCCCCTCACTGACACATCCTTGATTTCACACTCGGCCTCGGACCAGCACCTTGAAGGGCTTAGTCACACACAGATATTGTTCCCCTTTAGGGCAGGCTGGGATCTGGGTTTTTAACAAATATTGCAGGCAATTCTGGACAAGGCTCTTTGAGGGACCAGGAACATAATACACAGGATGTGTTTTGAAATAAGCCAAACCCGAGTTTGGATTCCCTAGAGAGGTATGATCTCTCCGGAGCACCATTTACCTACCTCCTCAGGAAGCCAAGCCTCTTACCACACTCCAGCCTCCTGCACCCACATCCTCCCATCTCTCCACTTACCTGGAGCAGGGGGCTCTGGGACAGATCCCTCTCTCAGTGCAAGAAGCCACACAGGGGACCTGAACTAAAGTACAGGTGGGTGGGTGTGGTGAGGACTCCACCCAGCCAAGACTGTGCCTCCGGGAAATGGGAGGGGTGAGGTGGGGGTGGGGGAAAGGCTGGGGGTTTCTCCTGTAATTATAGAAGGCACTTAAGTGTCCTTGGCCTTGATCTAAGAACTTGGAGTTGTCTTCCTCATAACTCTGTGGGACTGTTTCTGTTATTTACATTTTTTTAAATGAGTAAACCAAGGAACAGAGAAGTTGAGAAAGTCAAAAAGATATTAAAGAGATTTCAACCCAGAGCCTGCCAGCGGGGTTACTGTTGAAAGATCTTGACAGAAAGTTAACACTGAGGGTGCCCGTATGAAACAAGCAGTGGTTCATAGATGCCAACTGATTTTATAAGGAAATTCTTGAGACATAAGCTATGTTTTTTTATCTGATACATATAGAACAGAATTCTAAAGCGATTAAGTTGTTATACTAATAATGACGGCGATTCATCTCTATTTCGTAAACTTTAAAATTTTATTTTAATTTTTTTTTTTAAATCCCTACCCAAGGACATTTTTCCATTGCTTTTTCAGAGAGAGAGAGACATTGATGTAAGAAAGACACATCGAGTGGTTGCCTCCAGCTCGCGCCCCAACCGGGGCCAAGCCTGCAACCGAGGTACATGCCCTTGGCCGGAATCAAAGCCAGGGCCCTTTGGTCCTCAGGCTGACACTATAACCACTGAGCCCAATGGGCTAGGGCTAAACTTTTAAATTTTAATAACAAGATTTAAAACAGATTTAACACTGGGTGGGGAAAAAAGGTTTTGTAGCTGGAAACACTTTCTTCTTCATGTGAATCCAGTATGATGTGTAAGTGGAATCCTATAGGAAATAATACTGTAGATATGCCCTGGACGGAGACATTACTTTGTTAAATGGGACACTAAACAAACCTGCCCTTTGTTTTGTATGGAGACACCATCTCTATCTTCCAAAGCTGTTCCCATAAAATACTGTTTCTTGAAAATATTGTCTGGAGCACTCGGTTCCTTGCTCCCCAAACAGCAGGAACTTGAGAGGCCCACTGAAAACTATCTTCCCACAGTTGTTTTCTCTCCCACCTGGAATGTGTAAGGTAATTATGAAACAGGTAAATGCATAAGTGTAGGAAATAGGTAAATGTTCACAAATTTATTGCAGCTGTGAAAGCACGATTTATACGCTTCATTGTTAAATTCTGGTAACACTTAATTGTTAACCTCCACATCTGTTAGTTCCTACAACATCTCCATTGTTATTGAAACAAAATTTTAAAAAAATAGAAAACAAAATAAGAAAAACTTTCTTCATACATGGTAAATCAAATAAGCATTAAATATTTTTTTATTGGTGCTAGATTCACTGATAGATGTACAAAATTCTACCTACTGTCCATAAATCACAGGAAGAAAATGAAGCAAAGTCACAGTTCACCCTTCATAATCTCTTACAGCACGGATTGTAAGTGGTTTGGAATCACATCCGACATAGAAGTAAGGCTTTAGCACTTCAGAAAATGTATCCATGAAAGAATGGATGTGAGACATGTCATTCAAACTGTAAAATGAAACCTGACCCAACTCATAGTCCAGATAGATGCCAATCCCTCTGGGCTTTTCCTTCAGCACAAGGGCAACAGGAACAGACCCTTGTGCCACATAATCACCATTCCGCAGCTGAATCATCCAACATTTGCCCTTCCGTCTTGGTGGGAACTGCTTTCTCTCCTTGGTAAGGGAGTCTTTACAAACCCCCACAGCCCACTCAGGCTTGTCACCCACCTGGACCTCCCAGTAATGTCGGCCACAAGCAAACCCTTCAGAACCCAGGACAACTGGATCGACCAGAAATCTCTTTGGATTCCAATGAACTCTTTGCTCTTTCCTCACAGATGTCACAGACTTTCTATCCTCAGACACAAGCAGATTAGGATGTGCTGTCTCGGGATCCAGAGTAACTTCTTCTCTAAATTTCTGTATAATTTTCTGCAGGGCCGAGTACTGTGGAGGAAGACTGCACTCTTCTCTCCTTAACTGGACCCAGTAGACAGCTGGGGGTAGCAGGCTTCCACAGCTGTGAAGGACACTCCTGATACCCATCAGAAACTTCACGTCCGACATCTTACGCCTCTCTGCCACCTCCTTTTTTAGAGCTTTGAGGTTGGAAATGTGGTCTGAAAATGCAGTTGTGTTTGCAATGAGTTTCTGTTGAATGCCCTTCTCTTCTTCAGCTAACCTTGAGAGAACTTTCTCTTGCTCACGCTCTACAGATTGTGTCAGATGCTCAAATTCAGAGGCTAATTTCTGTTTCTGTTTTTGCACCTTCTCTCTCAGTTCTAAGAGTTGTTTGCTTTGAATGCTTATTAATTTCTGAACATCTGCCATCTGCTTCTCAATGTAACTGCTGAGCCTTTGCCTGTGATGAGAGGCGGCCTCCTTCACCGGTCTCACCTGGTGGCCCTGGTGGTTAGGGGGCTCAGTGCACAGGGGACACAACACCTCTTGGTCCTCCTCACAGAAGAGGGTCAGGACCTGGCTATGCTTCTTGCACAAGCGACTCCCTTCCTGCCGCTTCTTCTTGCTCCTGGTGACCTGGAGGAGCTTGGCGATGTCAATCATCCTTCCCAGCTGGGTGTTGCTCCTCAAGTGTGTCTCTTGGCATGGGTGACGGCACACAGGGCACAGGAACCAGTCCTGTAGATCAGGTGACGATTGCTGGATGAAGGAGCGACAGAAGTTGTGCCCACATTCGATGGTGACAGGGTCTCTCAGGTCATCCAGACAGATGGGACAGTTGATTTCTGCCCGGAGTCCTGCCAGAGCTGCTTCAACTGCCATTGGGCCCTGAATGGACTGGACTGAGGTGAGTTTTCTCCAGGAAATTGGGCTCTGTGAGATCTCTCCACTGAGAAGTAGATGCGCCCTCAGATCTCACTGTCCTTGCTTTCCTCAGTGATTCATTCCTATGAGACTACAGGTGTCCAGAGGAGCTCCGTTTACCACCTCCAGCTGATCACAGAGTAGTTGAATCCAAACTCAGAAATTCTCTTGGTCAGAAAGCAGACCTGGTTCTAAAGTGCCTATTCATTCCTGGGGATGAGAAAATATTGTTGCATGTGAAATAGGCTACCATTTGTCCTGTGGTCCTGCTCACTGCCACATTTGAAGCAACCACTGATTTGTCTCTCTACCATCACAACCCACGTAAACTCAAGTCATCTACAAGGATGCTGTATGGGACTGTGGCAAGTATATGGGTTTGGGGCTAGATCACCGATGCTTGGGGCAGCTTCCAGCCTTAGTGACCTACCATCTGGGAAACCTGGGGAAAGTTACATGACATTTTTTATCTCTAAGAGAATCTGGCAAACAAGAATAAAATTCCCAACTTCAATCATTCAATCTCATGAAAAACCTAAGAAAAGGATTTGGCCCTTTTTGGCTTAAACAGGTTATTTTTGATAGTGCTGAATTCATAATAGATCAAAGTTTACTTGTTTTTCCTTTAAGCTTCTCAACTTCAGGATATATCAAGCTCTGTACAGAAAAGTAGATGGAATTTAGACTAGAACAGATTTCCTCTGAGGACCCTCCAATTTAAAAAACTGACTTTTATATGATGCTCAGAATAAAATTGAAGATCAGGGTTTCAATGCAAAATGAAACAGAGCCCGCCGGCGTGGCTCAGCAGTTGAGCATCTAATACCTATCACCCAGGAGATCAAGGTTCGATTCCCGGTCAGGGCACATGCCTGCTTTGCGGGCTCTATCCCCAGTTGGGGGTGTGCAAGAGGCAGCTGATCAATGACTCTCATCATTGATGTTTCTCTCTCTCTCTCCCTCTCTCTGAAATCAATAAAGATATGTTTAAAAAAAATAAAATCAATCTATAAATAAATAAAAATAACATAAGTCAAACGCCACAGGGAATAGAGTCAATAATGTAATAACTATGTATGGTGTAGGGGGTACTATGTTTATGGAAGATCACTTCATAAGGTACATATATAAATGTCTAACCACTATGCTGTACATCTGAAACTAACATAATATTGAATGTTATCTGTAATTGAAAAATATAAATAAATAAAAAGATAAGCCAAACTCGAGCTTGGATTCCCTTTCAAGGTTCAATGCCTCAGCCTGTCTCAGCTGGGTACTCAGGAAGCCACCGGCCTTACCTCCTGCAGCCACATGGTGCCATCTCCTGACTCATCTGAGCAATAGGCCCTGGGGGCGTCTGTAAATCTGGTTGCTGAGACCAGCCTCCCAGAAGTGTCCTTGAAGCCAGTCTGACACCAGATTTTGTGCTTGATGATGAGACCTTGACCTATACTTATATGCACCTCCAGGGGAGTGGAGCTGATAGGACCTGACCTTGACCAGCGGAGATGTTGGCTCCTCCCTCTGGGAAGGAGAGGTGGGCCTGGGTAGGAGCCAGGGGATGTACTGAGACGCTGGCTGGTGGAGAAGGGCCTCCTGTGATTCAATCGGGCCTTAAATTCATAGGCGTAATCTCACCTGCACCTTTTTAATCCTCCCACGATCCTTTCAAAGCCATTTAACCCCATCTTTCCTCCCGAGGAAACTGAGATCTGAAAGGCTCAGGAAGGCCTCTTCCTTTTCTCACCCAGGAATGTGTAACACTGGGTGTCACCCTCCCTCAGAGTGTGCCAGCAGCACTGTGCAAGACAAGGAAGGGACTCACCCCTTCAGTTTCAGGGGTCTGAGTCCATCCCTTGCTCCCTGCATCCTCCCAACAAGCTGTAACCCGTTTCCATGACTGCAGAGTTCCTCCGCCCCAGACAGGGGCAGTTTATACAGGCTGATTCTGGACCCGCCTGGCACACAGGCAGAGAAACTGGGAAGTCCCAGCCAGGGAGACAGATGTGCAGCTGCTGGTGGTTTCGGTTGCTTTGTTTTCACTCCGTTTTCCTTCAACAGCCTTGTCTTTGACCTATGATTTGAAGAGTTCCTTCTCTTTTCCTAGCAAATTCTTAAATTGTTTCAACTGAGTGTAATTCCTTCATTTGATTCTCCACCTTCAAAAGCAATTCAAATGATTTTGAAACCTGCATTTCTAACCCCTTTGCAGCATCTTCAACCTGCTCTCTCAGGGGCTCAATATAGCCTTTGAGCTCCCTCCTATGACTAGCTGCAGCTCCCTCAGTGGGCCTCGAGGAGGAGACCCTGCACTGGCGACACAGCAGATCCAGGTCCCTCTCACAAAATAGAGCCAGAACCTCACGGTGTTTCTTACATAGGGGTTTCTTTTCTTGACTTTTCCTTTTGCTCCTCTTGGATGGAAGCTGCTTGGCAGTATCAAGTCATGTGACATATTTAGGTGTTCCACTGAAGTTCCTGTCAGGAGACTGGGGACCCAGGTGACTGCCTTTCCTGTTTCTCGGTAACTCTGATATCCCTCACACACATACACTGCATCCTGAGGCTATGGTGAGGTCCTCTCACTAGGTCACCCAACTCCCAGCCCTGCTTGGGTCTGTACAAGGCTCTGAAGTTCTGGCTCTTTCCAGAGTTCTGCTCACTTAAGCTGTGGGGCGCTCACCCCTGGCCTGGGTGCTGGTGCCAGGACCACCCACCTGGTACTGACAGCCCATCCCTTCCCTCTGGAGCCTGCCCATTGGTTGTTCATCCAGAAGGTTAGAACCTGCCTGGTTCTCTATAAATTCCTGTAAGGAGTGTCTTTTCCTGGGGCCTTTACAAAGGTCAGGGGAAGAGGGAAGCCCAGGCAGGGCACAGTAAGGGAAGTATGTAAAAGCTGACTTGTTTAGAGAGAGCTAATTTGAAAATTGGATTTATGGAAGTGTGGTAGGCAGTTAGACCTGAACAGAGCAAAGATGATGGTCTAGGTACAGAAGGTCACTAGGGTGGAAAGCCCCATGTGCCTAGCAATGGACAATTGTAGGATGGGACCTCGCCCCCAGGGTAGCCTTTTCTCCCCTAGCATATCCCCAGTCATGTGGTTTGGACCCCCAGACCTTTTCTCCCTAGAGATAACATCTAGGCTTCACTTGTATTTCAGCTCCAGGCCCAGAAAAGCAACAAAACCAGCTACAGCTGACCTTAGGGCCAGCTGCACTGGGTAAAGACTGAAAGGACACACCTGAAAAACTGCTGAATATTCCATAAGATCTTCCCCTGGGACCTCCCCTAGAATCTCCTCCATCTGAGGGAAGGTGGGGGAGGAGGAGTGGGTGGGGAGAGATTAATCAAAGAACTTATATGAGTAAATGCATAACCTTCGGACACAGGTAATAATATGGGGAAGCCTGGGGGTGGGGGGTATGCAGGGTAGAGGGGATAAATGGGGGGGAGGGAGGAGACATCCGTAATGCTTTCAACAATAAAAATAAATTAAAAACAACAACCAAAAAAGACCCCTTAGGACAGAGGACCCAGCACTCTCCCTCCTGGGAGCACGCCTGTGCCTTTCCCTTCCCTCTCCCCCTAGGCACATTACCATTAGCTTCCTCACTCCCAACCTCCAAGGGCCCTTCCTTTGCCTCTATAACTTTTTTTCTAAACTCATTTCTTCTACTTTTTCTGCCTCTGTGATTTACCAAATAAATGTTCTCTTATAGTTGGGAGTCTTGGCTCTGAATTCTTTTGGAGCCAGAACGCAAGTACTGAGGTTGCTGAATCCAGGTCTGGTCTGACCCCACCAGTCAGACACCTGGTGCCGTTCCCACTGCCTACAGCAGAAGTAGGGTGTGTAATTTTCAAAACATTCTGATGTATTGAAGGATCCTGGGTAATCTCAAACACAAAGTTCTCTTTTCAGCTACCTAAGTAGAAAAGCTGCTAAAACTTGAACTTCATCCTGTGCTTCACCTTGATCTTCTTAAAGATCCAATCAGCTCCTTATCAGCTCCTTCATTGAGCCCTCCACTCAACAAACTTTAAGTGCTCACTTAATAACTTGATCATTAGAATCCTGGAGCACAGAGACAATAGCCAGTGTCTAACCTGAGCACCTGACCATCCAGAGAGAAGAGACATAAAAGAGCAATGCAGATTTTACATGTTTTAGTGTCAATGACAATTTATTCAGGAGAGAGGCTATGGCTTTTCTTCAAGAACACAATTCCTGTTCTCCAGACCTGTGCGCTGAATAGTGTCTAGCACCATCTGCTGGAAACTTTTGAACAATCAAAGTGACATACATGGTTATAAAACTTCACATAGATCAAAAATGATGCAGGGATATTCAGTCCTCTAATGGCCACTGCAGCACACATCCAAGATCATGCAGCTGTAATGTTTCCAGCTCTTGGTCAACCCTGGAGTGGTCTATGTACATAGATGTACATGTCCATTTCCTCTTAACCTACAAACGAGAGGACAAGTGTTCTAAAACTTCCCCTCGCCCCTTTTGTTCACTTAACATATGGTCTTAGAAATTTTCCTCTATCAGTACAAATATTTCACTTTTTGGGGTCAAATGTGAGCAAAAACCTTAGTGGTAAATATTATATTTAAGGTGGAAAAAGAATGTCTTTATTAAAGAACCAATAGGCTATATTTTCTGTTGGATCAATGTTTCCTTCAGTACTTTTTACTCTCTCATTTTCAAATAAAATCTACCATTTATTGAATACTTTACTATTATTGGAGACCCTGTGCTCTGGGTTTTTGTGTGTATGTTTTAAAATATTTATTTATTTATTTATTTATTTATTTATTTATTTATTTAAAATATGTCTTTATTGATTTCAGAGAGAGGAAAGGAGAGGAAGAGAGAGAGATAGAAACATCAATGATGAGTCATTGATTGCCTGCCTCCTGCACACCCCCTACTGGGGATTGAGCCTGCAACCTGGGCATGTGCCCTGACTGA